AGAAAGAAAGAAAGAAAGAAAGAAAGAAAGAAAGAAAGAAAGAAAGAAAGAAAGAAAGAAAGAAAGAAAGAAAGAAAGAAAGAAAGATATAGATTTGAAGGTACATGTCCTTTTTAGTTTGGCATTATAGCTTCATCGTTCCCAGGGAAATTTTGAAGGTAGCAATGTTTATTACTTTTAGAAGGGGAGAGTGGAATTTATCATCATCACCATTATTTTGCTTTGATTGACCATTTCAAAATCAGACATTAAAATGAAGGTCTACTTAGAAGGTGTTATTTTCCCAGCTTATCTCTGAAAGCGGCATCACAAGAATGGAAAAGAACATTCTCAAAGACATGACTCAAATGTTGCACCTCTGTAGGATTAAATGTTTGAAGAAGGATCTTGGGAAATGCCTAAGGTTTGCCCCTGGCCACCTCCTCTCGAATGTTCAGAATTGCTATTGGCTGCTTGGATGAGCATCATCTGCAGCTCAACAGGCAGAAGACCTGTCCGATGAATAAACCCAACTTATCCAGAATGTCAAGCTGCTTTCCCAAGCAAGTAAAAATTCCTAGCGTTAATTCCAAATATGTTTGGGGGAAAAAAATAGTTTCACGGGCTCCTGCCAATAGAAGGGATCGTGTATTTCAGCGGCTCCTCTTGCAAACTTAATTCCCATACAGGTGATCCTTGACTTATGACCACAATAGAGCCCCAAATTCCTCTTGTTAAGTGAGACATTTGTTAGGAAGGTTTTGCCCCACAGTTGTTAAGCAAATCATCACAGTTGAGAAGTTAGTAACCCGGTTGTTAAGCGAATCAGGCTTTTCCCTTTGAATTTGCTTGTGGGAAGATCACAAAAGGGGATCACATCACGTGACCTTGGGACGCAGCTGTGGTCATAAGTGTTATGCCCCTGGTGGAGACTGAATCTGAGGGAGAAGAGGAACAGACGACAGGGAGTGGAAATGTGGCTCCGGAGGTTGTGGAGGAGGCTGGGGAAGGGCAGAGGCCGGCTGGGCAGTCAGAGGAGAACCCAGACCCATCCCCTCTCCATCCTAGGGCACGCAGGAGGGGAGAGGATAAGGGAGAGATGTGGTCTACTCAGGAGGAGAGGGCCTTGTTCCTCTTCATGGGCTGCAGCTGTGACAACTGGATAAGAGGACGGACATGAGTATGGGCGAGTGCTGGAAACAAAGCATGGAAATATCTCTAGTTTATTGTTCCTCTCTGAGTTTGGCGTCCTTCCCAGTGTGTGTTCTGATATCTGTGGATGTCTTCAAGCCCCTATCTTGCCTGGGCTGGTTTGTATTGTTTTTTACTCTTTATAATTTTAAACGGCATTTCCTCCTTCTTGTAACTGTTTGTGTGGGAGTTTTTTGTCTCCAGTCAAGGATATTTGGAGCTTGGAAGCAAAGTGAAGGAATAAAAGGGGATTCACCTGTTTTTTGTGACTGTGTTTATTTTGTATCCCACTCTGGGTCATCACACATAAGTATGTAGCAGCCGCCAAGCATCAGAATGTTGATCCCTTGATGATGGGGATGCTGCAAAGGTGGTCATTGTGAAAAATGGTCCCAAGTCACTTTTTTTTTCAGTGTAACTTTGAATGGTCACTAAATGAACTGTTGTAAGTTGAGGACTACCTGTGCTCTCCTAATGCATCTTCTAGCCCTCTAAAGAAAATACATAAATGCTGCTTTCCCTTTTTTCTATGAGCAGACCTCTGTTCACAGACGCAACTTATTGTTTCCTGCTTCAGATGGAAAAATAACTACCGTGTTCCCCCGAAAATAAGACTGGGTCTTATATTAATTTTGGCTCCAAAAGACGCATTCGGTCTTATTTTCTGGTTAGGTCTTATTTTGGGGAAAATACGGTACTTCTGTCTGGCTGACAGTCTTAATTGGGCCTTGTTTTTGGGGTAGGGCTTATATTACGAGCATCCTGAAAAATCATGTGAGGTTTTCTTTTCCGGTTGGGTCTTATTTTCGGGGAAACATGGTAGTTGCATTTTGCTGAAAATAAAAAAGGTGGTTACTCCTGCAGGCATCCGGAGGAGAGAAGAGCTGTGATCAGCCTTCCCAGACCTGTTCCAGTGTGGCATTTTATCCCAAGAAAGCCTGCTAAGAAATAAGTAGCAGGCAGTTTGTAAGATTGGGCAGAAATTTCGACCATGCCAACCAGCTCCCAGGCATAGCCTGAAGTGCTTTCCTGGTGCAGCAAATTGAGCCATTGCCACTTTCACAGTGAACTGCTAAGCAGAGACTGAGGTGCAGAGTTGGGGAAAAAAAAACCTCCATAACCAAAAAGAAATATATGACACTTCACCTCCCTTCCCATGGCAACTGGGCTTTTGAGTTAATTCTGTTTGTTCCAAATCCTTTTTCTAACCTAACGATCCTGAGAATTTCTTCCCAAACTGCCCGTAACTACTTAGTCACCAAATACTTCTGCCCTTGAGGGGGAAACATTGCAATGTTGTATTTTGGATTTCACAAAAGCTCCTTGTTCATTCTGCTGTGCTGTTTTAGCTGTAGCATTGCTAAATGTCCGGTGCCAAAATAAAGCATGTGTAGGAAATAACAAGGTTCTTTTTTCCCATTTGCTTTGCTGTTTAGAAAAGTAATTTCTGGGCACTCAAACCAGGAACCTCATATCCATAATGGCCCGTTGAAAATCTCATTAATACAAGCAAAATCCTGTCTGTTGGTCCCTTTAGCACTTACTTTTTCTTTTTTAAAAATTTTATTGACTTTTTATTAATTATATTTCTTAGTGCTTAATAAACATCATGTTGTCTGGGTATTTAATTTGCGTAGCAATACTGGTTACGTTCTTAATCTCCACTCCTTTTTTCCAACCACTGATAAAATAGATCCCATGTTTGATAGTATTGTGTGTCTTCTTTCTGTATAATTTTCAAGGTCAATCTATCCATTTCTGCACAGTCTAGTATCTTCTTAATTATCTCTTCATCTCGAGTGTTTCTTCATTTTTTTTTCCAATGTAGTGCAAACATAACCCTCGCTGCTGTTGCGACACGTAATATTAAGTATGTACTTTTCTTGTCTAATTTTCCCCGATATTATACCTAATCAAAACAGTTCAGGTTTACAAATCTACATGTTTCCTTGCCATCTTTTTGAGCCTCCTGTGTACCTTTGCCCAAAATCTAGCACTTACCTTTTCATTGCT